GTGTGTTCCAGTGAACACACAAATGATAAGAAAGTGAAACAGCCTTATTGCTGACATAGAGAAAGTTTGAGTGGTCTGGATAGGAGATCAAACCAGCTGTAAATCTACTCCTGGTGAAGCCAAAACCTAATCCAGATCAAGGCCCGAACTCTCTTCATTACTATGAAGTCTGAAAGAAGGGAGGAAGCTGCAGAAGAAGTCTGAAGCTAGCAGAGGTTGGTTCATGAGGTTTAAGGAAAGAAGCCATCTCCATAAAACACAAGTGCAAGGTGAAGCTGAAGCAGCATATGGTGATGTAGAAGCTGCAGCAAGTTCTCCAGAAGATCTGGCTCAGATCAGTGATGAAGGTGGCTACACTAAGCAACAGATTTTCAATGTAGATGAAGCAGCCTTCGATTGGAAGAAGATGCCATCCAGGACTTTCATAGCTGGAGAGGAGAAGTCAATGCCTAGCTTCAAAGATTCAGAGGACAGGCTGACTCTCTTGTTAGGGGCTAATGCAGCTGGTGACTTTAGGTTGAAGCCAATGCTCATTTACTATTCTGAAGATCCTAGGGTCCTTAAGAATTATACTAAATCTACTCTGCCTGTGGTCTATCAATGGGACAACAAAGCCTGGATGTCGGCACATCTGCTTACAACCTGGTTTACTGAATATTTTAAGCCCACTATTGAGACCTACTGCTCAGAAAAAAAGATTCCTTTCAAAATATTACTGCTCATTGACAATGCACCTGGTCATCCATGAGCTCTGACGGAGATGTACATCAAGATTAATGTTGTTTTCATGCCTGCTAATACAATGTCCATTCTACAGCTCATGAATCTGGGAGGCATTTTGACTTTCAAGTCTTATTATTTAAGAAATACATTAAAAAAATTATATCTCATATGGCTATAGCTTTAGATAGCAATTCCTCTGATGGACTAGGCAAAGTAAATTGAAAACCTTCTGGAAAGGATTCATCATTCTAAATGCCATTAAGAACATTCATGATTGGGGCGCCTGGGTGGCTCAGTCGTTAAGCGTCTGCCTTAGGCTCAGGTCATGATCCCAGGGTCCTGGGGTCGAGTCCCGCATCGGGCTCCTTGCTCTGCGGGGAGCCTGCTTCTCCCTCTGCCCGATGCTCCCCCTGCTTGTGCTCTCTCTCTCTCTCTCTGATAAATAAATAAATAAAATCTTTAAAAAAAATAAAAAATAAATAAAATATTTTCCTTTGTAGTTCTTAACTAGCTGGGCATTCCACTGTACCACTATTGATGTCATCTATGATGTCATGAGGGTGGTGGCCATCAACATTGCAACCCACAGATTGGACAGTCCCAGGATCTCTTTAATGGTTCCAGAGAGCTCTCTGGCTAAAGATCCAGGGGCATCTGTTGAGCGATGTTGACAATCTCATCAAAAGTGATATTTCCACTGTGCTTAATGTTTTTCTTCTTTCTGTCCCTTGACAGTTCCTTGAGGGCTTTGATAATTAGGGCCAAGGCTGAAGGTATCTCTTCAATCTGGGCCTGTCTGTTCTGAATGGTTAGTTTCCCTGTAATCCTCAGACCCTTCCAATCACTGGTTGCCCTGGTGATGTCATCACCAACATTTTCTGGAGATAGACCCTGGGGAGATGGCTCGGGGCCAGGGCAGATGTGGCATTGATTTCCCCAACGGCTTACCTCAGGTATACAGCTTTGATCCCATTGGGGTTGAACTTGGGTGGCATGGTGGAGGTAGCTGGTGTCGGATGAACCTGGATTCGGGACCACCGAAGACAGTTGCACCTTCACCTCCTCTGAGCTGAAAGCCAAAAAAAGCCATAAAGTATTTTTTTTTAAAAGATTTTATTTATTTATTTGAGAGAGAGAGACTGAGAGAGAGAGCACATGAGAGGGGGGAGGGTTGGGAGGGTCAGAGGGAGAAGCAGACTCCCTGCCGAGCAGGGAGCCCGATGCGGGACTCGATCCAGGGACTCCAGGATCATGACCTGAGCCGAAGGCAGTCGCTTAACCAACTGAGCCACCCAGGTGCCCCATAAAGTATTTTTTTTATAAATTTTTTTTTTAAGCTTTTATTTATTTATTTGACAGAGAGAGACAGCGAGAGAGGGAACACAAGCAGGGGGAGTGGGAGAGGGAGAAGCAGGCTCCCCGCGGAGCAGGGAGCCCGATGCGGGGCTTGATCCCAGGACCCTGGGACCATGACCTGAGCCGAAGGCAGACGCTTAACGACTGAGCCACCCAGGCGCCCCTAAAGTATTTTTTTAAAATTAAGATTTATTTATTTGAGAGAGAGACAGCATGTGCACGAGCAGGGGGAAGGGTAGAGGAAGAGGGAGAAGGGAAGGGAGAGGGAGAGAATCAGACTCCCTGCTGAGCGTGGAGCCCAACACGGGGCTCAATCTCACAACCCTGAGATCATGACCTGAGTGAAATCAAGAGTCAGACGCTTAACCAACTGAGCCACCCAGGCACCCCCCATAAAGTATTTTTTAATAAAGGTATGCACAGGGGTGCCTGGCTGGCTCAGTCAGTAGAGCATGTGACTCTTGATCTCAGGGTTGTGAGTTCAAGCCCCACATTGGGCACAGAGCTTACTTAAAAAAAAAAAAAGGGTGTGAACAATGTTTTGTTTTGTTTGAACAATGTTTTTTTAGACATCATGCTATTGCACACTTAACAGACTACACTCTAATATAAACATAACTTTTATATGCACTGGGAGATCAAAAAAATTGATCTGACTTGCTTTATTGTGATACTCACTTTATTTCAGTGGTCTGGAACTGAACCCGCAATATCTCTGAGGTATGTCTGTATTATGACCCTACCCACCTCTTTTTTTGTTTTTGCTTCTTTAATGTGAGCTCTATACCCAATGTGGGGCTTGAACTCATGAACAGACTGAGTGATGATAACAAAATTTGATTTGGTCATGATGTACAACTAGTAAGTGGCCAGCATAGTCTTTCCTAGTACCACACATTATTTGCCACATATCTATTGATGTCATAGCTACAGCAATTCCAGAAAATTCCCGTTACTTTTAGTGAAAAGATTCAATGAGGGGACAGGGGAGAAGACATGGCCTAGGCAGGGGCAGATGCCACCCAGGATCCAAGCATCCTGAGACTGCCCGAGATCTGCAGAAGGGTCTGCACAAACATGGCTTCTCTGAGTCAAGAAGTATGGGCCTGGAATGGTTAAAAAATGAGGACTTGCTAAAACAGGTTTACGAATATTACAGTACATTTTAACTGATTCCTTTTTTTTAACATGAACAATACACAGTGATATAGTTTATATGAAATTATTAAATTCATAGCACACTCTAGGTGGTGTGGTCTCACGATGGAACCAATTTCACAGATGTGAGGGCCTTCCTTCTAGTCTGTCAATGTGTCCCTGTGACTGTGTAACTTCATGTAGTCCTAACACTAAAAGTCTACATTTGAGGCCCTCAGTACATGTAAATAAAGATAATGACATATATATGTGGTGCTTGCTGGGTGCTGCTCTTAAGCTTTCCAATGATTCCTGTGTACAGCCATGACCTTTTGAATCTTACCAATTCCAACGAACATGATACGTTCAAATCCCAGTTCTACCACTGCCATGGGTTGAGTTGTACCCTCCCAAAAGATGTTGAAGTCCTAACTCCCAGGACCTGTGAATGTGGACTTATTTGGAAATAGGGTTATTGAAGATGATCAAGTTAGGATACGGTCATTAAGGTGGGCCCTTATCCATCTGACTGGTGATCTTGTAAAAAGGGGAAATTTGGACCCAGACACAGAGACCCAGGGAGATCACCACGTGAAGACTGGTCATGTTGCCACAATCAATCAACACCAAAGATTGTCAGCAAACCACCAGAAGCTAGGAGAGAAGAAAGGAACGGATTCTCCCTCACAGCCCTCAGAAGGACCCAACTCTGCTGACTCCTTGATTTTAGACGTCTAGCCTCCAGAGTATGAGACCAAAATGTCTGTTCTTTATTTTTTTTTTTTAAGATTTTATTTATTTATTTGAGAGAGAGAGAATGAGAGACAGAGAGCATGAGAGGGAGGAAGGTCAGAGGGAGAAGCAGGCTCCCCGCAGAGCAGGGAGCCCGATGCGGGACTCGATCCCAGGACTCCAGGATCATGACCTGAGCCGAAGGCAGTCACTTAACCAACTGAGCCACCCAGGCGCCCAATGTCTGTTCTTTAAACCACCCAGTTTGTAGTACTTTGTTACAGCAGCTCTAGCAAACTCATATAACTATTTATACACTAGCTAAGGAATTCTCTTCTGTTTTCTTATCTGCAACACCGGAACCATAATAATGGTTCTATAGGCCAGGCTCTATTCTTTTTTTTTTTTTTTTTTTAAAGATTTTATTTATTTATTTGACAGAGACACAGCGAGAGAGGGAACACCCGCAGGGGGAGGGGGAGAAGGAGAAGCAGGCTCCCCGCAGAGCAGGGAGCCCGATGTGGGACTTGATCCCAGGACCCTGGGATCATGACCTGAGCCGAAGGCAGTCGCTTAACCGACTGAGCCACCCAGGCGCCCGGCCAGGCTCTATTCTAAACACTTTGTGTAGACTCTCATCTGGCCATCATAGCATCCCTCCGAAATAGGTATTGCTGCTATAACCCCTTGACAGATAAGAAAGATAGGGAACAGAGAAGTAACTTGCTCAAGGTCATATAGTAACTAAATACATAAGATAAAATATATCCTTCACAAGACTGTTGAGAACTGCTGGTGTCTAGTGAAAGCGCTTTGTAACTAGTAAAGCATTCCCGCCGTGTTAGTTACAATCTCTGGGGCTTCAATCCCCCCCGCCTCCTTGTTGTTGGTTTTTTTTTTTTTTTGGTCATTTCTGACTCTTCCTCTTCCTACCCGTACTTCCTTCCCTTGGCGACAGTGGTCGCTGCGGTGCGCGGGCGCTGACGGGTCCCTCTAGCCCGCCGCGCTGGCTGCTCGCTGGTGTCTATAAATACCAGCGCCGGGCTCAGCGAGGCATCAGTCCGCCGCCGCCGGGGCTGGGGCTGGGGCCGTGGCTACAGCTGTCACTGCGGCTGGAACTGTCACTGGAGCTGGACGCGGCGGAGCTGAAGCTGGGCCAGGGCGGAGCGCAGCGCCGCGCCAGGGCCGCAAGGAGGGGTGTGTTGCTGCCGGCCCACCGCGAGCCGCCCCCAGCCCGCGCCGAGGCGCCCTCCCGCCAGGCCGCCTGCCTCCGCCTTCCGCCTCCCTCCATTTCCCCGGAATTTCAGCCCGGCGCGCCTGCACCCCGGCCCGCCTGCACCCCGGCCCTGCTCTGGGTGGGGAAGCTCCCGGCCGCTTTCCGGCTTCACTCCTTCCTGGCAGGCTGGGCTCCCAGCCCCCTCTCTTCTTTTCTTGGACTGGCTCCCACCCCCCCCACCCCTCCTTTGGTCCCCCTTTCTTTAGCTCAGGCTCCCTGCCCCTTCCCTTAGCTGAGTCCCAGCTCCTCAGTCACTTTCCTCAGCCAAGGGTCCCAGCCTTTCCTCTTCCTTTTCCTTGTCTGGGGTCCAACCTGTCCTGTCTCTTCCTCTGTCCCTAGGGTGCAATCTCTTTCTCCCACCCCCTTTCCCGGGCCTGAGTTCCAGACCTTTTGGTCTCCTGTGGTCCTTCCTGGGTCCTTGTCCCCTTACCCCAGTTTGGAGTTCTCCACTGCAAACCCAGCCTCCCTCCACCCCCAGAGATCTGCCTCCACACAAATACTTCTCTAAAACATGAACTTTTCCTAGGAACTGCCCCAGTCTGTCTTCCACCTGCTGACCCCTTGCTACCTATGTCCCAGGTCTTACTCTCACTTTGCTGACGGTCAAGGCCTGCTGAACCAAGGGCTCAGCATGATGCTTCTGTGGTCTGGCGTCTGTGGCCGCGCTCCCCCGCGAATTTTCCCTTCGTTGCTGGTGGTGGTAGCCTTGGTGGGGCTGCTACCTGTTCTCAGGAGCCATGGCCTCCAGCCCAGCCCTACGGCCAGCACCATCCGAGGCTCAGAGCCACCTCGGGAACGCTCCATTGGGGATGTCACCACCGCCCCACCGGAGCTCGCCCCCGAGAGCCGCCCTGTTAACCATTCCGTCACTGAACACAGCATGAAGACTCGAAAGGCCTTTCCAGTCCTGGGCATCGATTACACACATGTGCGCACACCCTTTGAAATCTCGCTGTGGATCCTGCTGGCCTGCCTCATGAAGATAGGTAAGTCCAGTTTGCTCCTACACTTCTGCTGCCCAGACTGGCGAGCTTCTTGCCCCATCCTTAGCACTCGAGACTGCCCAGGAATAAAGGTCCGGACCACTCCAGTAAAGTAGGCAGCCTCCGTCCTGCCATCTTGGTCTTTCTCAAACTTGGGCTCTGTGGTCTGAGTGCTCCCAAGATTGGAGTCAGCCTTATGCAAAGGGAAAAAGCAGGAGTAGAGCATGGGATGCTTCTTATACTAAGTACGTTCAGCGAGGGTTCCAGGCCTGCAGGTCTCCTCTGGCTGGGCCAGACCCCGAGGGGAGCCAGGCACCCAGCTGTGTACGAGACAGAAGAGTGTGTTCCAGCAAGTGGCACAGTTGGCTCTGTCAACAGCAGGGCAATTACATGCTTCATGGGAGGGCGTTCCAGAATGGAGTGTATATCGACTTGGCCTGTCTGAGGAGTTTAAGTATAGCAGGGGGCCTGTGTGCTGGAACATGAGGGATCCCCATAGTATCACCTTCCTTTTATTCCCAGAATGTTATCTGTCAGCTTTGCCTGCCCAGGCTGGCCAGGAGCCCCTGAGTCAATTTCCGGCCCAGGAATGCCATCCTTTATACAGTTTATGGGACTGGAGCCCTGGAAATTTCTGAAGTCTGTTTTGGAGGTGGAGGGGGAGTGGACGAGGTTGAAGCTCGGTCTGGCCCCCCACTCACCTCCACGTTGGCACCCAGTGGCTGTGTCTCAGGGTGCTGCATGGGCTGGCCAGTCACGTTGGCTGGCCGCTCAACCAAGTGGGAGAGGGACAGGTGGATGGGCTCAGGATATTCTGGTCTGAAGAGACTTGGAAATGTTCTTTTGGGGAGAAGAAACCAGAAAAGTTGTTCCCTTCCCTCCCTGGTCTCCCTCCCTGCTAGGTCTGAACACTCCATTCTGCTGGATGGAGTTCACTGGAGCCTGCATAGCCCAGAAGTCCCTGGAAAGTGTGTCCAGGGGGGCTTTGAAAGCCTTTGCTTCTTGCCTTTGCTTTGTTAGCCCCAGCTATCTGTGAAGGCATGAGGGCCTGGGATTCGGCTGGTTTGGGTCTGGGGAGTTTGTGACTCTTGGTAGGAAGCCTTGCAGCTTTTCCAAGGACATGCAGGAGCTGAGTGGTGATGCCAGGCTGGCGTGAGGCGGGCTCTGGGACATGCTGCAGCAGGACAGATCCGGTTGCTGGTGTGGAGCTTTGGTGCTGTGATGGAAGCAGCTCCAGGGACCTACACCCCGATGGCAGCCGGCGTCCTGGTAAAAATCAAGGACCGGGCAAGGGGAGCTATGTGTACTGATTCTGCCAACAACATGACCTTGAACCAGCTGGGGCCTTTTTCTGCAGGTCTTGCCCAGCTGTGAAACTGGCAAGAATCTCTAAATTTGACCATATCAATTGAGTCATGAAAACCGTGTCTTGATTTTTTGTAAGAATCTAGTGACTGTGATGTGTCATCTGCCTGTATGAGACCAGGAAGAGACCTCACAATCACTGTCTCGAAATTGCCCTTCTCTCTGCAACTCCCTCGCCTTCCAACGACAAGTGGCATCGTGTTAGGGCACTGAGGCTGGTACACACACTACAAGTCTCAGTGCCTTCTATTGGGATGAGAGCATGACCACACAGATCCTACTCTGGGCACTAAGGAGTTTGTCCCTGAGGGCCTGATATCTGTTTCTAATGGGGTCAGGCTTGGCCTGCTTTGTCCCCACCAGAACCTGTGCAGGGACCCTGAGCAGTTGGAGAACAGAGATGATCCCATGGCAAAGGGCATCAGTCTAAAAGTTAGGAAACTTGGCTTCTTATCCCACCTCCCTCTGTGACCTTGGGCCAGTCACACCTCCCCTCCTGTCAGCTGATCTTTGGCCCCTTCCAGGTCTGACATTTCTGCCGTTCCACTGACTCGGGTAACCCTGGCAAATCACTCAGCCTCAGGCCTCAGTTTTCCCATTGTAAAATGAGGAGGCTGGATATGATGTCTGAGGACTTTTGCAGTTCCAAAAGTCTGTGTCTCTGGCTTGCAAGGGCATTCGGAAAACAGAGGAGCCCTAGCATCTGGCTCTTCTGGAGAAGAGAATTATGACCAAAAGATTTCAAGGGTCCCTGTTCAGGTGGCAAAAGTGAACGCCCATTTTTTCCTTTCTCTTTGCAGTGTATGTAGAACTGAGGTTAGATAAAGACGCCTCCACTCTGCCACTGAGCCTTTCTGAGCCTCCACTTCCTCAGATATAAAAGGGGGAAATAATAGTAACCTGTAGTGCTGCTGATTGACAGTGACCCAAGTTAATGCATACGAAGCTGCCTTTGTACCAACAGGAAGCACTCAGTGAGTGACAGTTGCCCCCATTGGGACTTATTTTATTTATTAGAGAGACAGAGAGAGAGAGAGAGAGAAAGAGTGCACGAGTGGGGGTGGGGCAGAGGGCGAAGCAGGCTTCCCGCTGAGCAGGGAGCCCGATGCAGGGCTCGATCCCAGAACCCTGGGATCATGACCTGAGCTGAAGGCAGACGCTTAACTGACTGAGCCACCCAGGCGCCCCTCTTTTTTGGATTTTTTTTTAGATTTTATTTGTTTATATGACAGAGAGACACAGCAAGAGAGGGAACACAAGCAGGGGGAATGGGAGAGGCTTCCTGCCGAGCAGGGAGCCTGATGTGGGTCTTGATCCCAGGACTCTGGGACCATGACCTGAGCTGAAGGCAGACGCTTAATGACTGAGCCACCCAGGCGTCCACCCGTCTTGGGATTTGATCCACCAAAGGCAAATGCATCCCTACCTCAGCCTCCCGTCTTCCTCTGAAGCTGGAAGATTACAAATCTCTCAACCCTAGGCTGCCACAGGGCGTCCTTCCTTAAGGTTTCCGGGGTGTTGGATGTGTCCTACCGATTTTGTTCTTCCTTTCACTTTAGCTGCCTCCAGGGCTGGTGGGGGCAGGGAGGGGAGACAGCACCAACTGACTTAGGGGGCGGGTGGGGGCTGAGGCCACGCTCCCTCTGCACTCTCAGATACCCAGGAACCTCGGAGTTCATTTCGGGCTCTTGCCTACCCTCTCAGCACCTCAGTGTGGGTAGGAGGCGAGTTGGAGCGCTCGTTCTGTCACGTCTGGCAGCTGCTTCCCTTGCAAGGTACCCCTCCTTTACGAATAGAAAGTGCTGTGTGCAGTTCGACTTCCTGTCCTAATCAGTGAGCAGAGGCTCAGGTTGACCCGTCGGAGATGGTTGTGGGACGGTGGGGTTGGTTAGAGCTGAAGTTCTAGAGTAATGCTTCTGGGTTCTCTTCTGACTGGCTCCGTGGGTGACCAGAGGCCCTTCTCTGCGCCTTTTTGCTCTCCCTGACGGATTCTTGCCTTTTCCTTGATGTGGAGGGGCTGGTGGTGGGAGGGGGGTTTAGACTATTGGGAGACCTGTGAGTGTGACCCCAAGCCTTAGGTTAGGTCTGCTTCCCCCGCGCCCCGCCCCCCCCCCCCACCTTGTGATCTGGGCCCTGCGTGAATTCCACTTTGTCCCCAGTTCACCCGACTCCCAGTCTAGTGCTTGTTCCAAAGGAGAGCCCAACTGTAATCTGGCTCGCCGCTTGCACCCCCCGCGACTGTTTGCCTATATCCCTGACCTGGAACTCCTGGCAGGGCCCGAGAGCCCATAAAGCAGGTATTCATTCAAGAGGCAAAAAAGCCTTCCTTTGTCTCTTCACATCTTATAGCTTTTTTGTTTTTGTTTTTGTTTTGGTCTTTGCAAGGCGGATCCCGCCATTTCCAAACAAGTCTGTGAGTAGGGGAGGTGGGGGGGTGGGGGTCACTACTGCCCACTTCACATGCATGGATCTATCAGCCCCAGCAACTGGTTTCCTGTAAAAATAAGACGAGAACTCACCTCTCCCACTTCTCAGGAGAGACGACCAACTTTAAAGGTCATGTTGAAATTGTCTCAAGAAGCCCAGACGGCACTCCCTAAAAAGAAAGGGGTGACCTTTTCTTCTTGGGGAAGATAGCTGACTGCGGGACAGTGGGAGGGGAGGGTCACCTGGGGGCTGGGAGGAGGCCTTCAGGTAGGACACCTGTCTCCAGAAGCATCAGGGCACTCGGAGGGCTTCTGATTGGTCATGTTGCTGGACTTCATTCAGCTGAGCTCCCACGAGGCATGCCTTTCCTCTCCTTCCCACCCCGCTCCTCCAGCTCTGGGAAAGCAAAGACATGGTCAGAAAGCCTGGGCTCCTGCCCTGCCCCATGGTACCAGTGACCATGGCCAGCTGCCTTGTCTCTCTGGACCGGACTTGCCTCATTGGTAAGGTGATGACGCTGTCTCTACCTTCTCAGATGGGTGTAGGGGACACACTTGGGAATGCCCCGCACTCTTCCTGGCCAGCTGCTGAGGCAGCTTCTAGGGCCTGTTCAGACTCCACCCCTCTGGGCGGCTTTCTCAGCCCACTCAGCCCACAGCGTGGCTCTGGCTTCTCCCCCTGAACCCATTTCCCTTATTGTTTATCCACAACTTTGGCAGGGGGCCTAGCCTGCCCTGTGACATCCCTTCTGTTGGGTGTGTTTGTGTTTTAATCAGAATTAGCATTTATTGAGTATCTACAGAGTAGTGTCAGGCACTTTATAAAAGTGATCTCATTTAGGGGCGCCTGGGTGGCTCAGTTGGTTAAGCGTCCTCCTACAGTTCAGGTCAGGTCCCAGGGTCCTGGGATCGAGCCCCGCATCGGGCTCCCTGCTCAGCGGGGAGCCTGCTTCTCCCCCTGCTTGTGTTCTCTCTCTCTCTCTCTCTCTCTTTGACAAATAAATAAATAAAATCTTAAAAAAAAAGTGATCTCATTTAATTCTAAAATCATATGAAAGAAAGGCTATCTCTGTTTTACAGATGAGGAAACAGCTCATAGAGGTTATCTTGTGTAATGTTGAATTGCTGTTTCTTTTCTGTTTGCGTCTTGGCATAGCCTCCTAGGGGAGTGCACCTGTCTCTCCTGCCCCTCACAGTCCCATGGGCGGATGC